CATATAATTAATTATTTTTTTTAATGAAACGGTTTTTCTTCTTTCTCCTGGAAAAAAAAAATATAGCTTTTGGTCTTATAGCATAAGAACATCCTGCTAACGCACTGTTTTTCGTTCCAATGTCAAAAATGACAAAATACAAGATACTACAAAACAATAAAAGTAGTAACTTATAATAGTGTAAATGGACGAAAACAGGCAGGCTTGGGGAGTGAGAAAAGCGAGAAAAAAATCAAGAAGAATAGAATTCAATGTCAGACCAGATAATGTGAGGATAACAAAAGCATGAAATATATAGAAAGCAAAGTCACTGTATGGCGAAGAAAGTGAAGTTAAGAAAATTTTGAAAACGTTCGTCATTGCCATGTAAATCGTCGGTCAGGTGTTCTGACCGATACGTACTAAGACCAAAATTTGAAATTAAAATTTTTAGATTAATTTTGCTGTTAAAATAACAACAGTTTTATCGGTTGCATATCCCTAAAAATATTTTGTCGAGGGTTAAAATCTAAATGAATTTAAAAAAGACATAATAATATAGGTAGGCCTACAATTATTAAAAAGCAATGAATAGTTTCTTTTTTTATCTTTCTATCTCTATTAAAAATGTTGCTTTTTGGGCTTAGCACATTTGAACAGCATGCCAACGAAATATATATCATAAATTCTACCTTGAATAGTCCACGCAAGAGAAGAAATTGCGACCGTACAGTCTGCCCTCATCTCGCTGCTATACGGTTGATGAGTCTTCTCTACTTCAAGGTACGCACGTCTCAGCAGCTCACGGTGTATCTCTGTCTAACCACATAGGCACAGCTCGCTGGTTTTTGTTTTGCTTTCTGCGTGGGCTAACTACGAGTTACTTCGTGATGAATACTGAGACAGAAAGGTTTTTCTCTTTCATGTTTTTTTTTTTGTTTTAGAAAGAGCGTTATTGTTAGATTATGAGAAAGAATAAACAAGAAACGAAATTAGTCCAGTTCATTCTCCTCTAAAAATCGCTTTTACCTTTGAATATTTTTCGGCACAATTTTTCTCTCTCTCCATTGTTAACAGTCACAATTTGATTATAAACTTGTATTGTAATTGATTGTTGAGTAAACAATTTCTGCACACAGATTTCTCTAAAACAATCAGCTGTTCCCAAGAAGTCCGGTCTCGACACACGACACTTGAGTTCATGAACTTGAAAAATCTGGCGACACAGCCGCAGTAGCTGTCCCCGACGGACGTGGCCTCCGAGAGTGAGTGAGAGAGAGAGGGGGGAGAGAAGAAATCCGCCCTGTTCTGTGATGAAATACGTGTGTACAATAAATAAAGAACCGCGACACGGCGCTAAGTTCACGGAACGCCGTCACCGGGAGAAGAAGAACCGAGGAGAGATCGTCTGTCCTGTCGTGTGTGTGTGTGTGTGTGTGTGTGTGTGCGTGCGTGTGTGTGTGTGTATCGTCTGCTAGCTGCTGCTGCTGCTGCTGTCGCCGTTGTGTACCGTACGGGAATGATTGGTTGGTTGGTTGGTTGGCTGTGTTGGCCGATCGTACGGGTCGGGAAAGACTAGACGACTCATTCATTCGGCGAACCGTCCGTGATTTTTTTCCCATGCGCACCAGGCCTCGCGTACCCTGCTCGACTGTCTGGTCTGACTGGGATCATAATTGCCTGGTGCGGTATGGTTGGGTGAAAGTGAAACAGATTAGAAAAAGGAGGCGCAGCACATACTGCGGTACAAATATTTATTATCAATTAATTGTTATCTGTTCAGGAAATATCCGCTCTTGCTTGTTGTGTACGTTCTCGTAAGAGGACTCGAGTCTAGGGTAATCACGGAGGTTCGAGCAAATCGAAATCGATTTCATAGTCTGTGTTTTGTTTTTGCTGGGTAGATCTAGATCTAGATCTAGTTTTAAAAATTTAAAAATTATTATTATTATTATTATTTTGATAACTCCGATTAGACACGGCGTTCAAGCCCAAAGACACGAGTGCCGTGACCTTGCACTCCCTGCGAGACCTGTACCTGGACGTGAAGAACATCGACGTGCTCGGGGACGAGACTCAGAGCTGCAGCACCAGCGACACAGACAAGGCAGAACCGACTACGCCACCCATGAGTGAGAAAGTCACACCAGGGACCCACATGGTCAGTTATGTCACTTTGTGCGGTTTTGTCTTCTTCGATGTTGTTCGGATATCCCAGTGTCTCAAAAAGTCTTGTATCCATCAAAGAAAGAAGTAAAAGCGAAAAAAAGAAAAAGAGAAAGAAAGAAAGAAAAAAAGAAAGAAAGAAAGAAACAAGAAAGAAAAAACGAAAAAAAGAAAGAAATGGCACTTTATTATTTCTTGTGGGGAAATTCGGGTTACAATGGCAAATATACATACATACATAAAAATACATATTTAAGCACATATGCTTACAAAGAATACCAAATACACAATATTACACCAATGCAAACTATTTTACAATTATGCCATGCTGGTTGCCACTGTTCAGTTGTAGTTAAACAGTGTGGACTGTTAATCTTTTCATCTGATCCTTGTGTACTTAGCATGCTACTGAGAGTATCGCCAATTTTATAGCTTGTTGACCTCATTGCAGGACATCACAATGCCTCCGTGGCTGGACAGCGACATTGAGATTGTGACCTTGGGTGCGGCTCCGAACCAGGGCAGCCCACCAACCACCCCATTGATCTTCACCAGCACCAAATCGGGCAAGAACAACACACACCTGGTGGTTCTACAGCCCAGCTCAGAGCCTGTTGATGACATCACAATCAGTGAGAACTTTGTTTATTTCGCGGGCTGTAAAAATAAGCGTAGAGGTTTTAATGTCCCTATCAATACTATTAGGTTATTTAAGAGGTGGTACCTCCGAGTCTAGCATCCATCTCCGAAAGGACCGAGCCAAATGGGAAATGGGTGTAAAGTGTCTTTCCCAAGGACACAATGTCGTACTGACCTGGGGCTGCTTTGACCTTCCTTATCAGGGGCAACCTAGGCTGAGTGGGGTAGCCTACAACATCCCAGCAGACAGATGGAGTCACTTGATAATATAACTTCCCCACTTCTGAATTGAATCCCATTTGAGCAAGATATTCCATCAGAATGTTCAAACTTTGTTTTTGCCTGTAGGCTTTTAACTCTTTGAGGAAGCTCATTCTTGTCTTTCAGCAACACTTAAGATGCATTGTTTTGGAGCATTTTTTAAAAAACAAATTGTTAAATTTGATTTTTGTAAATCTTAAACTTGAAAAGGCAAACTACAACACACATTTTGTAAAACATGCGAATTTGTGCCTCTGATTTGTGTAATACAGATCAAAATGTGCCACAACATGGCCTTTGGGCTCTGTCAGACATAAGTTATGTGTTCGATACACCCTGAAAGATTCAGCCTCCTCGTAATGTCCCCACTTTTCAAGCTAAGACGGAGCACACACCAGGAAAAAGTGTTGGGCTAGGTTTTCTCTTTTCATGTTTTTTTTTTGTTTTAGAAAGAGTTTTACAGTCCTTACAACACTAATAAGTCATATAAGTGCTGAAGATTAAAGGTATTACTAGAGAATAACTTACAAAAAAAAGAAGAGATAAGGATAATAGATGAGCAAACCGTAACAGAGCACCTTCCAACCACCCAAAGACTTGAAAAGTGTTAAAAGTGGGGAAACACTATTTTTAATGAATGCAGCCTTATTGTTTCTATCTCCATCCCCAGTCATTGTGGTGTGCGTGATTGCAGCCATCTTGATCATCAGTTTGTGCGTTGCTCTGGTCCTTGTGCGGCGTCGGAAGAAGCGACAAGGAGACTACCTGGTCAAGAAGGAAGGCGAGGCCGACATGGAGCTGAAGCAACCTCTGAACCACAACGACTCGTCTCCGTATGGCGGGCCAGCCCCGTTCACATCCCACACCATGCCTCGCATGTCTCGCCCCCGCCCGCCGGCGGAGACAAACAACAAGGTTCCGTCAGATCATCTGGCCAAGCTGGATGAGTTCAGCATGATCTCCGCCATGCTGGGTCCCAGGAGTAAGACTCTCTTTTTTTTTCTATACCATCAAACTTGCTTTAATGGACATTTATAAGACAATTACCTGTACAAACAGACATTTAGGGGGCTCTTGTGGCCTAGAGATTAAGGTGTTCGCCTCTCATTCAAAAGGTTTGAATCCGGGTAGCAATGGGAAAATTTTCTTATCTGAAATTGTCTCCTTTCACCTTCTTTCCTTCTCTCTTGCAATACTCTGTCGTCTGCTTTTGTCTCCAGTTTCTGCCCCCACCCCTACAACTCCTTTGCCCCCTACGCTGGACTCCTGACTCTTTCTGCAGCCTTTCTACTGCTACACCTTGGCTCCTTCTTACTGCTGTCTTTCAGCAACACCCCTGATCTTCTGGTAGGAAAGATCTACACCTAGCCTTCTTGGACAAGGGCGAAAAATCTCAGAGGTCCTGTGTGCAAGTTGCGCACGCTTAAGATCCCTTGGTGGTCCAAAATGGATAAGAGTAGGCTTCAGCCGCCACCCGAGCAAAATTCAAAATTTCCTACCAATTGAAAATGTTTGGTGTGTCCCGCACGCTCATATGACCTTATGCAGTTGCGAGCGTCATAAAATTTTTTTTTTTTAAACCACAAAAAAAATAGCCATTTCCTGCTTCCTCCCTTGCGTATTTCTAACATCATAATGACACTGTGTAAGACGTCCACCTGCCTGGGACTACCACTTTTCTTCTTGCTTTAGATCATTTTTATTGTATCTTTTTATGTTATGGAATTCTAATCTTCTTCTTCTCATTCTTCAGACCAATTATAGTTTTGATTTCAAATTGACTGTCATACCTATGAGACTAAACTGTCCTGGTCTTTTCCTGTCACCCATCTCGTCGAGATCTCTTAGGAAGTTATTTTCCGTCTATCTCTGCCTCTTTTTCATCTTATTATGTTGAATAATTATAAAAATGTTATAACTCAATTTACACTTGTTTACATACATAGCTATGTACATAAATACATACTTGCAATAATTTTTCAACATTACACAGTTCACAATATTACACCATCAAAGACAAACAAAATCGAATTTTCCGGTCATATTTGTCCAGCACCTGTTTTTGAGCAAGGAATTATAAACTATGAACTCTCTGAACATGTAGATTTCAATGAAAAAATTCTGTGCTTGTTTCTCCTAAACTTTGCCTGAATGTTTTCAGGGCCTAAGGCAGACACTTTGCCCCACGACCCGTCTAAGCAGAGATACAGCCAGGGAAATTATGTGAGTGCCATGACAAGTTAATGATTTTTGCCTTACTGCCTGAAACTAGGCGCTTCACATGTAAAGGGTTAGGTGACAAAATGGGGTATCTCCAACTCTTTATCTTCTGTTTTTCTCACTGTAGATCATTTGATTTTTTAATCTTATCTGAGTTTAAATATTTGTTTTCAAAACATGCTGTAATCAATGATTTTGCATCTCCGACTCTTTATCTTCTGTTTTTCTCCCTGTAAATCACAAGTTTGATTTTTAATCTTATCTGAGTTTAAATATTTTTTTTTCAAAACATGCTGAGACCATTGATTTTGTACAGCTTTGATTCAGTGTTTTCTCCATCGGCAAACGGATCAAACACACTGAGTGAAACGATCAGCTCGTCCTGTGTTGGTCACTTTGTGGACATAATATGTCTTCTCTTGTCACAATACCTTTAATTCATATCTTTCTTTATGTCTCTTAATCTGTTTAGAGTAAAGTGTTTAAGAGATCAGAAAATCAGAAAATACTACAACAGATTTTCCATGCTAAAGTAGATCTTTTTCTGTTTGTGTTGAAGTAAATGGAATTAATGCCACATTATTATTTTTTTTAATATGAAAAATAAAGCGATAATGAATGAAAAGGTCGTCATATGAAAATTTGATGTGACTAAAGTATTACATAGTTACACAAGCCAGTAAAGACTAGTCCATCAGGAGTTGGAATTAGGCCTGCTCTTACTGACAAGGAAAACCAAAAAAAGACATATGTGAGACATATTGCATGTCTTAACTTGTTCGGGACATGCAGTCTGGTCATTCGATTTTGTCACTTTTTAAAGGTATTTTGTATATTTCAAAGAATACGCAACCATCAAAATAATTCCTAATAAAATGCATAGAAGACAAATAAATTAAAATCCTTTTGAGTTAAGGTTCAGACATGATGGAACTATTGTCTTTTTATAGGAAAGCATTTTGTTTGAAAACATTTTCTTTCCATTTTCAAAATGTAGCTTGAAACAATGTAAGCGGACTTTTTATCCACTTCTCCAGACACACACACACACACACATATTTTCATCTTTGTTTCCCTCTCCTAGCCTCTGACGGATGATGAGGTCGACTTTATCAATCCCATCTACAACGCAAGAAAACAACGACCGGCTTCCTCCATATCAGAGGTCTTGGAAGAACTGGAGAGACGGCAAGTGCCACTTCCTAACGGTAAAACGTCAAGATCTGATTTATCTAAACTTTCTTATGTTGGCAGGAAAATGGTAAAAGATATCAGTGCAGCTGGTTTCTGTTTACTTTCTCAGGCTAATAGGAAAGTGGTAAAACATTATTGGCAGTTTGGAAAAGTAATAAGAAATAAGGAGACTTGTGGGCTGCAGTTTGATCTATAGGCAATCCCAAAATAAATGGTAAATATTTCACCTAAAGGACTTCATCAGAAACTTAATAACACATGCTTTAGCCAAATCAGGTTCTGAAGTATACCTTTCCTGCCAAATCCTTAGAAAAAAACACTTTACACAAATTTTAAGTATTTCACCCTGGTAAGATTGGGTAACTGACTAAAAACTATGAAAGATCTTTTCTGTACGTTCATCTTGGAGCATTTGTTAACCCTGTAACATCACAGTTTGTGTCAAGTGCTTTTCAAGATTATTTGAGAACATTTATAGATCTGCCAGGGTAATAGTAGGCCTACACTGTTCAGTGCATAAAGCATGTTTACTCTCAGCAGGCATATATGTTAATTAAATGCAATCAGTTAATATTAATATTATCATCATCATCATCATCATCATCATCATCATCATCATCTTCATCATCATCATTAGTAGTAGTAGTAGTAGTAGTAGTAGTAGTAGTAGTAGTAGTAGTAGTAGTAGTAGTAGTAGTAGTAGTAGTAGAAGTAGTAGTAGTAGTAGTAGTAGTAGTAGTAGTATTTTATTGTTATTATTATTATTATTATTATTATTATTATTATTATTATTATTATTATTATTATTATTATTATAATTAATGATATTGTCTTTATTGTTATTATTTTATTTATTATTGTTATTATAATTTTTTTAAAATATTATTGTTATTATTATTTTATCATCATCATTATTATTGTTATTATTGTTATTATTATTATTATTATTATTGTTTTAATTTATGATTATGATGTAAGATGGTAACTAAACTGAAGAGCACCATCTCGTTTTTGCCAGGTACCCCAGCCCTAGAGGATCCGGTCCGGCGCAGCCACGGCGAGGGAGAGCTGGAGTGGGACCACCAGGCAGACACCACCACGCCCGCACACAATGTGAGACTTCTCTCTCACTCCGCATCACTGGGTCTTTGTTGTTTTCTGCACACCTGTCTAGTCATGTACATTTGATTTTCTGTGTTTGCGATGCAGTCTAAACTTTTTTGAGGGTGTCTTGTAAAAGAATTGAAGGCAAAAAGCTAGAGATAGGGGTAGCTCAAGAGTAGGTTAAATAAGGAATGAGGACAGATGAGCGACAGAAAAAAAACCCAACCCTGAATGATATAGGGGATGTGTTTTATAAAATATCTGACCAGAGAAATGAATATTGAACCATGGTTGCCAATGTTTGAATTTATTGATCTCCATGAAGAGAAATTTCCTGAGGCATGGTAAAAACATACACAAAAATCAGTGTTTCATCTGTCTAGAGATTGTCTGAACTGTGAATCGTGGGAGCACCAATGAATACCCTGTCTTTTGATCTTATCCTTGGAGAAAACACTCTGATATCCGTCTGATCAGAATTTGTGAACGCGGGGATGAATATGTAACCTCTTGTATGTGCAGGCCAGTGTATAACTCTGAGAATAATCACTCTTTTGTGCAGGGAGTTGCTCCTGTGGAAAAGCAACAAGGATGATTTTGGCGCAGCGTGGGGCAGAGGGTCAGTTATTGGAAGGTGGAAAGCTACCATCTATTCAAGCAGGATCTCTTCCTTGCTCGCTTTTCTCACTAAGACCTTAAATTTTTGCTCTTGTTGAGTTGAGATGCATCTCGGGGTCTTTCCCGCTTATTCCATCATTCAGTTGCAAACCAATTTCCCTGCTTCGACCTGGACTAATTTGAGACTGCGAATGTTGACTCTGTTGAGGATCAGCGAGCGCGCTGTTCGGCCATGATGTGATTTGATTTGCCTTGACGTCTTTAGGAACAATGTGGCAAAGAAAAAATGGTGCTGCTGCATGAGATTCTTTATCATAAACTGACAGCTTAGCTGATTATTTTCTGATAATAGCATAGCATAAAAGAAATACTTTTATTTATTCCTGTTGGGGGTGTATAAAATACAAACTTTAATAGTTTTTCAATGTTACGTATGACACAATACCCCATAAGTACAGACAATCAACATATTATTTGTTCCATTCTTAGATCAAATGAGGTTCTTTTTAGACTGTTTTGGATGCATGACCACTTTGTTTTGACCTCTTTGCTTTCAATGTGCTTTGCTGCAGATGTTTAAGACTTTCGTTTTTATCAGTGCAAAAATTGGGTCATACACTTTTATTTGCTGCAAAACCATTATCATTACTTGGTGATTTTCTGTGTACTACTTTTGAACTACTTTTCATAACAGATGAATAATTATTTAAATTCTAAGCTGCTTTTAAAAAAAATTCAAATTCAAGCAGAATTTACTTAGTGGCGTGGGCAGTTTTGTTTTCACTATAATTACACCAACAGCTTTTGCGGGTCAAATCATATCTCAGTATCTGTTTGCTTTTATTCTTCTTCGCAAATATGCATTTGTCTTGAAGTCTTTGTCTTATTTGATGGTCATCCAACTTATGCTTGATGTTTACTCAGTTTGAGACACATGCTGAATATCTTTAAAAAATGTTACTCTCTGATTTGGTTTTCACACCAATATCAACAAGTTTTATTTGTTTTCACACCTGTATGATCAAATTATATATTCTTACGAAAGAGACGGGCGACACATTTGAAAGATGGTTGTGGTCTTTTTTATTTTTATTGTTGTTGTTTTTTTATTTATACAATTATTTTTTTAACAGTTGCTTATTTAAGTTGTTTTTCTGTTATGTTAATCACCATCATCCCATCAGGAACCATGGGTTTGAGTGGAGCTGCGGTCAAAGTCTGAATATTGATCCCTGACTTTGTCCTAAAGCAACTCTAGTAAGGAAGTTTCTTTGACAAATGAATCACTCAACTTCTCTCACTGTAGGAAGACATCATGTTTTTCAATAAACCTTTGCTGGGCCCAATTCCTGATGAACTAGAAGAGTCCCATCTCAGCAGTTTCTCGGGCCACCCGTCAAGTTTTGGGGGTGACAGCTACCAGGTTTGTGCTGAGTGTAACTGTCCCTAGGATCCTCACCCTACTAGACTTGTTTGTGGTTCCGACTGAATGCTGTGTCTTCCACGCACCATGCGGTGTTCAGCTTATGGTGCATAGGCTGCTGTGTAGCACTAGCTCCTTATCATTAGTGATGTACCTCGTTTTAGGAGATTAAATTTCAATTGTACCGAGTAATGAAGCATGAGAAGTTACCGTCTGAAAGAAGTGAGGAGTCCACGGGAAAAACGTGAATAGTCACAAACTGAAAATTGTGAGTGTATCAATCTTGAATGCTTGTTGACTCATAACAGTATTTCCATTCAACTGTTGATTGATTATTGTCGTTAGATTTCCCATTCAACAAACAATAATTAACCACCAATCAAACAAATATGAAGTTATGAGTCCACAAGCATTAAAAATTGACACCCTCACAAATTCCAGTTTCTGAATATGCTCGTTTTTCCTGTGGACTCCTCAAGTGGGAGTAAGTCTCTATTATAACAAGATCCTTGTCTAGAATTAAAGAATTAAATGCTAGTAAATGTTTAGAGTGCTGCGGAAATCAGAGTGGAGAAAATATACAGTTGAACTTGCTCTAACGGCAACCTGTTCAACACAGTCACCCGTACCAGTGATCTCTTCCTATTTACCCTCTCACGTTTTTTTACATTATAATGGCCCTGTCCAAAACGTTCACCTATCTATGACATCCAATTTTCTCTTGGACAATTGATGGAAGGTGAGGACAATTTCAACTGCATTAGGAAGTGAAAAGATGGGATTATCATTGAGAGACACAAAGTGTGCAAGGAGTACAGACCATTTATATCCTTTTTTCTATTTTAAATTGACAAATGCTGGTAAATGATTATAAACTTAAATGCCAAATCGAGTTCTGTCAACAAAATTGACTGTAAAGTGATCGATGCACTTTGTCCTATATTCGCTAAATATCATAGGCAAAATCTATTTAAATTTCTTTACGCCTTTTCATGAGGGTTTGTCCCACAAAGACATTGTCCTTTTTTAAGTGGAATACATAAAATTATATTGAGAGTTTAGCATTTTAGGGTCGTTAACAGCAACGATAGTAGAAAAGAGGGGTAAGAATGTAGCACTGATTCACTTGCAGATCTCGAGCAGCCCAGCTGTAATGAAGTATGATCTTTGTCTCTTCGGAAAAATGAAAGACACTAAATGCAGGTCACTTCGATCTGGTGGAAATGGTTACCTGATAAAAGGCAGTGGAAGATCTTGTCAGTACGTTAGTGGTTGAGTGCTGTAAAACAGCTGAGATCTCGTCTAAGAAAGATCTTGTCAGTTTGTTAATATTTGAGCACCTGTAAAATGGCAGCTTTCACTGAATGCTTCCCAAGAAGCTTAGAGTGTTTCAGATTGTTCCTGGGTCTGTTGAGGAAATGATAAACTGTAGGCCTAGTGTAAAGCATATGGCGGCTACTTTCTAGTGAAGATATGTGCTATGTAGGTGCAAACTATTATTATCTAGTATTATATTGTGTTGTAGTTCCCAACTCTTCAAAGATATTGACGAAGAGAATGAAATGGCTTCCATCTTTTCTGATAAATGGTGTAACTATTTAGATTTTATTATTGTCAGTAGTTGTTATTTTATGTTTGTATTGATAGTTTCGTCAAGAATTTTTATATGTTATCTGTTTTTCTAATAAGTTTTTTCAAGAACTTTTTTGGTACCTATTTTAATATGTATAAAACTGTACTCATCTTTGTGTTGAAGTGTAAAAACCCACCAGACTAATTTCTTGTCATGTTTGTGTACTGCGCTCTCCATTCTCTCCCCTGCATGACATGTCTCTCTCTCAGCTTTCAGTTGCTTCCCTTTGCTGTCCCAAAATGCTGGTGCTCTCTGCATTACAGAGGTTGATGCTGCTTTTTTACCCAGATTTCTTTGAAAACAGATTTTTGTATAGAGTCACTGTTTATTGTACTTAAATCTCTTTTACTTTTTGGGGGTTTCTTTGCAGGAGGTTGGAGGGTGCCACTGTCACGTCTTGTTTCTTAATTTTCCAACTTTTGTTTATGTATCTTACTTTTTCTTTGAACTTACTTGCAGTTAATGCATTTAAGCACTTCTCTTTGCTAAAACGTATCTATTTTCAACAACACTAGATGTTTTGTTACTATTTGAAGCTAGATATCATATCGGGGCTGGATTCATATATTTATGAGAAGGGAGGTTTGAGGGTGTCTCTTTCCTATCCCTCTGTTACCTATGTCTGCTCTCTTACTCTCTCCGTGCACCATATGACTTTGATAATTACTTTCTACTTTCTTATGTTAGATTTAGATATACCCATTTGAAGGATTTTAACAAAGTAAAATAATTAATAAATTTTATTCACTACCAGTATGTTAATCATAGCCTAATGAAAATACCAATGTGTGCTTATTTTCATGAGAACTTGCTGGGAATAGGTCTACAAGATGTAAGAGTTAAAAAAGTGTTTTGCACTATTAATTCCTGTTATCCACAATGAGCAGATTTTGATTTTATGTGCTCTAAGTCAATGCTGCTATTTCCTATTATAGTAGACTCAAAATACGTTTGAGTTATACTGACTTTTTCTTGTCATTTTAGAAGGCAGACACACTGGAGGGTTCGAACTCACCACCGGGGTCAAGTCACATGACCAGCGGGGCAGAAGGTAACGGCGACTCGGGCTATGAGGCAGAGTCAAGGCCAGAGGTCACAGAGGACGACATCACTCCGGAGACCTTGAACGACGATGACGACCCTGACCATCCTCACAAACTGTTCTCATTCCACGTCCCAGACATTCACATGGACGGCTCGCCCAACCTCTCCGGGCTCAGCGCTAAAGAAAGGTTGCTGCAGGAGGGCACTAGTGTCTGACACTACAGTGGAGATACGTATCCGCTTATATCCACATACATCCACAGTTTTGTGAAAAACTTTCAGGTGGATGTATGTATAAGCTGGTATCCAGGAATATCCACACTTGTGTGAAAAATCTTCAGGTGGCTCTCCTGTCTGATGCTCTCATGGATATATCTATCCACTTATGTCCACATATATCCACTCTTTTGTGGAAAAAACTCAGATGGATGTATTTATCCACTAGTATTCACAAATATCCACACTTTTAGGAAGACCACTCCGTTGGATATATCCCCTTATATACAGGTATAGCCAAAGTTTTGGAAAGGACACCCCAGTGGATACATGTCCATTTATACCCATGTATGTATATATCGACATTTTTGTGGAGAGCACTCATTATATATCCACAGTTCCGTGAAGATCAGTATTAACGGATTTAAAGTGTGTTCTGCTACTGATTCTCATTTTGTGGCTCTGGATTATAATTGTCAGTGATTTCAGCTGAATTTGGAAATTTGGAGACGGTCGTTATTTGGTTTATTATTGGTTATGTCAGCTGAATTTTGCGACAAGTCTTTAAAATATTTTCCAAGGAGGAGAGAAGGAAATGGAAATGGGAACCACTGACTGTGCCGAGCAAGACAATTCCTGAGAGATGAGAGAGAAATACAAAACACTGGAAACCCCAAAGGCAGTGGGGTCCACATGAACTGAAATCTGTGGGACCACCGGATTTTCTTTGGTCAAATGGGGTTTTCGGTTTGGAGAGGTTGCTCAAAGAGAAGGAAAAGAAACTAAGAATTTTTTTTTTTCCAGTTTGCTGGTGTTTTTGGATCAACCATGTTTGGTTTACGGGGACCCCATTGTATATATAGGCAACACCTGAAGAAACACAAGATAATATGTCTCATGACGCGGTGGAATCAGGCGCTTGTCATTTTTGGGGCATGTGGAGTTGTTGATATCATCTTAAAGGTTATTCATTTGCCTTGCTTTCGATGAAAAGATTATCCATTTATCTTGAATAGAAGTTGAGATATTTGAGATTGAAGGAGGTGGGGTCGCCTGGTTTCAGAAGTAAAATTAGCGAGAAAATGGCCGGTCAGAGTTTGGTGATTTGCAAAGCATATGAGTCCTTGGACACTGCAAATTTACATTTCTTGTGCCTTTAATCAACAATTGTCCATAATATCCACATATAAAAGTGTTTTTGAATGGACATACAAGGTGTTGGGCCAAAAAACAAAAATTTTAAAAAGATTTCCAAACTGACCGAGAAATGCCGATTTCTCAGATTTCAACAATTTGACGAGCGCCTGATTTCACCACGTTGCCTCACCTATAACAATGATTCTCTTGTTGTAATCATGGCTGGCATATTGTTGGTCGCCTCTATGCTGCGCCATGTGTTTTTCAGCCAAGGTTGTTGTGTCTTGCTTCAAGGACACACCCCAGTACCCACCCACGTAAACGCTGTGACACCGACATGTGCTTGACATCATTGTGGGTCTGTGGTTGGTTTGTTACTTTGAGACATTTGTACACTGTAACAGACATAACCAGGGCAGTTACTGTAATGGAAACTTTTCCTAGCCTTAAGTGTTTTTTTTAATTTTTGGTTGGAACAAATGGCTCCCTTGCATTGATGATTAATTTCATCCAAAGTACCCTGAAAATGTTCAATGACTGAGTTCTATCTTATGAAATGTTAATGTCAAGAAGTGTGAAAGAGGTATAAATTTACTCTGTAAGTGGCATAGGTCTTTGACCACTGAGTGTTTTCAGTGTCTCCTTTTGTACATGTTTACTGGGCCTAATTTACCTGTTGATGCTCGCAAGGGTTCCTTCAGAACTAACATTTTAGGACACTCAAGTTCCTTAATCCTTTGAACCCTGAACCTTGATATTTCCCAAGTCCACATCCGTGGACCTCTCAAATATGTGGTTATCCTCTGATGTACAGTCCACACAGGATGCTGGTTAGTATTCCCCCACCTGATTTAATGGCCCTATGGGTTCAAAGGGTAAATGCAAATGGAGCAAAATCAAGCTTGGAGAATTTGACAAGGAGATCTTTACAGTCATTACAATAAGAATTAAAGTTGTAACGATGTAGTAAAATAGCCTTTAGAATACGAGGGCTGATGGAACAGCCATAGTGGAAGGTGCATCCACACATCTCTAGATGGAGAGGGGAGGTATGGCTTTGTGTTATGTAAGCTAAATGATGAGAACAGAACAATACAAGGAAAACAAGCAACTCCCAGTTTTGTGGAACCAGCAGTGTGGCAGAAGGAGTGGAAGAGAGAAAGACGAGGTCATTAGTATTTTTTACAGCTATGTGGATTACATACAACACTTACAATAAATACATGTGCAGATATTTCAGCTTGGTTAAAGAACCAAATTGCGACATGCTCAAGATAATATATTTGATTTTTTTTTCCCTCAACATAGCTCAAAATAACTTGAGCTTCCATTGAAGAATATTATAGAGCAGGCTTCCTGAAAATGTGCAAATTTTGTTTAATGCCAACAGTTTTGGCTTTACCTAAGTATTATGAGCTATATTGTAAACAAGGCAACATTCCTTACCTCTGCGCACATGATGGCAGGATCACACAAGAGCTTGCATTCAGACAAAATCAGACAAAATGTCTTCATTAAGGGTTGGAATCTGTAAGAAACAAGGTAAATTGCCTGGGACTTTATATACATATATGAATATAAAAATATTATATCTTTTTTTTCTACTTGTCATATATTATTTTTTTTAATAGTTAAGTTTGTTTGTGGGTTGTTGTTTTTTTTTACTTTAGTCAAACTTTTGCCAGCAATTTCATAACATAATATTGTGTTTCTTTGAGCCTATGAATAAATCACTGCCTAAATGAATCATTATTTGCTGAACTTCACACCTTCGCTCATCACATTTTGCCTTTTTCATTAACATTCTAGAACAGGCATGGGCAAGCGTATCCAAGTCAGGGGCCAGATTAAGCGATTCTGAATATGTCGTAGGCCAAAGCAGGAGAAATTTAGGTGAAATTGGGTAAAAGACCCGAACACTCTGAAGAGAGAGTAAAACTGGTACTGTAGCTTAGCCTTTATCTCTCCAGGACATTTCATGAGGTAAGACATTAGATCTATTGCTACCAGCTGGGTCTGAACATTGTAATATTAATATTCAAGATGGACAGTTTTGTTTTCATTAATTATAAACTCACTGTTGGCCACATTCATTATTGATTACAAGGTTGAATCATGGGCTCAACTGAAATTGCTCTAGGGCCAGATCTGGCCCGTGGACCAAAGTTTGCTTATGCCTGTTTTAGAAGTTTTTGAGTAAGATAGTCCGAGACAGCTTTACTGGAAGTCTCATGGTCTATGGAAGTATAAACAGAAAACTGAACATACTTGCTGTGAGCGTAGCATAAGGTTTTTGCTTTCTTGTGTCTGGACCCACCAAACTGATACCTTGTCACAAGTTCCTCAATCTACATGTATTGTAATAAACTCGAAGGGCTTAAGGGCTGTGGGAAAGAGTAGGTTGTCTTGGAGGTTCAAACTTCCCTACCTCCCTATAATAGACGACTTTTTCTCAAAATGTTCGGTAACCAAGTGGTTTGGTGCTCCTTCAACACAGTTTTGTCTTTGAAACCGTAGAGATTGAGAATTTTGTGATGATCCCAACTTTGTAGACAAATGGACAAGTAGACGAATAGAAAAATAAACAGTATAGATTGTAAATGAAGTAATCAGCTTTTTCTACTTTTTCAAACTTTTAGGACATGTCATTTTTGTCTCAAAACCCTTCATGAGTACCTGAGTTGTTTGTGACTTGAATTGTTCGATTGTTATTTCCTGTCTCATGTTGATTTCCTGCCGTCAGTAGTTACACCTATTGTTTAAACGCTGAAATCTCTTTACATGAAGAGGTGCCTCTGCCTTATTGAATCCTCTGTTTGAATTTGTTGTGCCGTTTGGAGGGAAAAACCTAGCACTAGAGAATCTCAATAAAACTGACTTTTTAAACGATTTGCATCAAGATAAAAGTTCCCACATCTTTCTATCTTAGTATGGTATCGATTTCTTTCATTTCTATATACAAACGTTTCTGAAACTGAACAATTTGGACAGAAATTATTGCTCTTGAAATTTTTATTCTCAATTTGTCACAAAACTTGATGCAGTTATAAAGTACTAGGTTTTTCACTTCAAATGGCATCATTGTCCTCGGCTGCTGAACAATCAAAGTCTTGCATTGAGCTTTCTCTGTGCTATGAAGGTTGTGGCTCATCTCACTTCCATCAATAATGTGAAACATTTGATCAATAGCGGTTCTTCTCTTCACAATGTCTGCCCTCTTCCCTTCTTACTTCATTCAACTTGGAATGAACTGAGCCAGTGAATGCTGTCTTCATTAAATACTGTTCAGACAATGCTTTAAAAAGGGTATATTATAATGTCACCAATTTGTTTCTTCATATTAAATGTTCAGATGTGTACCACAATTATTGTTCTCTCAGAGAGTAGCAGTGTGGCTTGAGAAGGCAACGGCCAGAATGTGTATAGTGTTTGATGACAGTATCGGAGAATTCCTCTGTCTGTTGCTTTGTTAGTATTAGTATTTGATTCTTACACACGGGTGTTCAGTTTGTACAAAATTGTTTGACCGATATCTTTATTGGTTCTTTCGTTATTGCAAGATGATTGTTTCTCATTCCTGTTTGCTTTTATAGAGTTTGACTAGATTTGCATGAAGTTGTATGTATAAATGTATTAGTGATGACTATTTGTCTTAGTCTCCAGTGCTATAAAGGAGTTGAGAGTTTGAGAAGTACATAATCATGATAAAAAACAAGTGAAGAAACATAGTCAGACTAAAGCAATACTCAAGACCTGTTCTAAACTAGACATAATAAATTAAGACCCTAATGGAAAAATGGCCAAAGTCATATTTTCAAGTTTTGATATTTTAAAACAAAATTTCAGTGTACAAAACAAACTGGACAATTTGCTATAGAGCCATCTTTCAAAAAGTGTCTCTAACTTGCACCTTTTGTTTAGTTTAATGTTTCGGAGTGAAATTTGGAAGTAGAGCACGTGGTGAAGACGATAATTCAATAACTCTGAGTTTGTGACTTTGATCATTTTTTTTTTCCAATGTGGTCTTTAAATGCATTTATTGTTGTGAAATAAACCAACATGAGCTAGTTCTGCATAGACCTAGTGTTGCTTGAAGCTAGCGCACAATTTATCATTCCACATATGACTAAGTTCAGCATCTACTTCCTTAATCAACTTTGTGTTGTTGTCATGTATGGAATAAGTTCTCTGGAAATTCCGTGATGTGATGACCATTTTGTACATAAGTCTTCATTCCGTTGTCCGTACAAACAATCTATGTTATGATTCTGTGACTGGTCCATCGTTGTAGTATTGGTAATGAAATCCAAACATAAACCACCTACAAAGAGTATTTGTTCACGCTAGTCCTGAAGGTGGGCTAACCTGTTTAGAGGTTGGCGGACCTTTGTGAAGGCCAAGACGCAAAATTTATTTGGCTTTAGCAATGGTATATTGGAGTTTGAGTAGACACTTTGGGCTTTTGACCAACTTAATGTACAAATTGTGTCAATAAAGTGCCTCTATGTTATATTGTATATTCTGTTTGTAATGAAATGTCCTTCAGTATGGAATCAAGAAGTTGAAATATTACTCTATGACATATAACTTAACACTTACAAAACTTAACTTAACTCAGTGAAGTATAGGCACAATGCTGACAGTTGGCAAACAGGATGGGAGTGCAGAGAGGAGAAGTAGAATTGTCAAAATTGGAAATGTGTTTACATCTCTATCAACACACTTTATATCATTTAGCAGTTAGACTGCTTCAATCCTGAGTGGGATGT